CGGATGTCGATGACGTGGACGCCGACGATGACGCGGAAGGCCAGCGCGAGGCGGAGCAGAGGAATCTGACGATGAGCAGCTCATGCAGATGGCTCCTCGTTCTCTGGCTGAGGCCTTGCAGTCTGAGGTGATGGTCTTCCTTCCCTCATCGATATTTGTACTCAGCGCTGTTCCATCAAGGCTCCCCTGTTTCAAGGACATCATTACGACTCAGGCGACGAGGAATACGACCCGGTCCTGCATGCGCCGCCCAAGATGCGGCGCAAGTCTCGCAGTGTCAGTACCTCGTCGTACGACTCTGGCCATGTGAGTGTCCCTGACGATGAAGCATCTGAGGACGGTGTACCATCGAGCACATCCCGTCGGTCGTCTGTTCATTCCGCTGGCTTCCCGGAGGACCGTTCCGATCTGCATGACCCAGTGCCAGGCCTGGCAAAGACATCGAGCAGTTCATTCAAGAAGGCACCCCATGCTGTCGATCTATTGGAGACCGACGACCATGTCATCAAAAAGGCTGTTGGCAAGTCCAAGCAGCCTACCAACCCCAAGGTACGTCTTAGCTCGCTGGGCGATATGTTCATTCCCCATGCTGATGTATCTCTTTCTAAGGGGTGGGATTCCAGTCCCGCGCTCTCTGCACCATCCGGCTTCACTGCCGGAGGAGTGCCCGCATTCAAGCTGATGTCAAAGCGCGAGCAGGCTCATCGCAAAGAGGTACGCGAGTCTCTGTTTGTGTGTCTATGTTGTCACTCACTGCGAGCTTGAGGCGCCGACTTGGGGTGGTCCGCCGGAGGCCATAGAGGTGCTGAATCGTACCCCAGCAACCCATCGCAACAGGCGAGACTCGAGCGTTGTCAGTCAAGGCCATGGGAACAACGACAACATCAATTTCGATGCAACAACAGGCGAAGGCTATGACATGACGGTGCTTGCGTACAACACTCGCGGGAAGCTCAACCTTATGTCCCAGACCGCCGAGATCCAAGCCGTTGCGCGTAGCGCAATTGACAAGACCTATGTATCTATCATCACGGTTAACGCCTACCCCGACCTTGGCAAGCGCAAGCAGGTCGTCCTGGATGCTTGCGTGCGAGCGGCGGAAGAGCTTGGGCCGCGATACCAGCGGATTCTGGACCTGCTGCAGGATGACACTCAGACTGAGTTCCGTAAGGCTGTCGGAGACATTGTATGTCTTCGTTGCCTGTCTGTCTTGTTGTACAGTCCTGATGTGGATTCTCTGATAGCCCGATGGACGCATCAGCACCCTACGCCGTGACATCAAGACTATTGCGTCTGGTCACTGTGTCGGCCACTACGGGCTTCGCCAGGATTGCGAGACATACGTGACAAACCTGCTCGATGCTCAGCGCTATGTGTTCGCTGGGGAGCATGTGGTACGTGCTTCGTCATTGAGTATCACTCGGTACTGATATTAGCAATATAGGCTGACCGTGTAAACTACAAGCTTCCCTGGCGGCAGCATGCTATCGCGGCTGTCATTCGACAGGTGTTCTTCACGGGGAAGAACAACTTCGTTAACAGCCACCCATGTCTATTCTGCACGACTATCGAAGGCCTCGATGACCAACCTGAGGTGCCTGCGGGCATGGTCGCGCTTGTCTGTACAGCCGTGAGTTCATACCATGGCCTGCCTTATTGCTGCCACTCACGCGATCCCTCATGAGTCGTAGATCCATGCATGTATCGCCGAGTGGTCTACCGGGAAACATGTTGAAGAAGAATTCTCGGGCAGTGAATGGGCCGGTACGTACCGTATACACAAGATGATGCTGGACCACGTCCGTGAGAAGGAACCGCTGTTCTTTCACGAGACGATGCACTATATCTACAAACAGGCGGAGTGAGTAATCATTGGATCTGTAGCTCTGTATACTTATTTTGATGCTTGTTTGCAGCTCGTCTACTCGAAACGGATCGTCGGCTGAGTCCAAGCAGCCCAACGCCTTGGCGCTGATGGATCTCTCGGCGCTTGCATGAGGTTTATGGGATCAATGTTAATTACCGTACTGTAGTATACCTCAGAAATAGCATATAATGGTGTTATTATACTGCCTGAATCATCCTGATTGTTTGAGTGACTGAACTGATAGAACATGAGGGTGAAATAATGGTCCATAATGCTTGCTAATTAGATTGGGGACAAACCTGAACGGTATAATTGTACATGATGGGATAATGGATATAATATGCCATGATCATGGGACATTATATATGATCATGTATAATTCGCTACGGAGGGTTTTCCTGATGG